GTCAGCACCTCCGCCATCACCAAGCCATAGGTGAGATAGACACTCAACCCAGTGCCAGGAGCGAGGCCGAAAGGCAGGTTTCCCAGCGCCCCCACGGTGACACATGCCACGCCCGAAGAGAGCGCCGTGGCTACCACCACCTGAGGAGGAAGGAAGGAAGGAAAAGATGGTTGGGCACAGCTGCTGATGTCGCCCCAGGAGCCTGGGTGCTTTCGTCCCGGGCGAGGCACAGGGAGGTTCACAAACTTGATATTTTGAGCGGCGTTGCGCCTTACCTGATCGGGAGGGAATCCTGCGTGAGCGAGGATCTGAGGGTTGACAAGAAGAATATAGGACATGGTCAAAAAAGTCACCACCCCGGCCCGAATTTCTTTGCCCACGCTGGACCCGCGCTCTTCGATGCAAAAATGCTCGGAGAGGCGTCGATGAAAGCTTTTCCGTGATTCAGAGCCCGTGATATCGTCGCTGGAGAGGGCATCCTTAGAGGCTCCATGCCCGTTGCGCCCAACATGTGATGCCGCATGGGATCCCGGTGCTGCGCTCATCCAAATTCCTGAGAGTGTTGGTGGAAATGGACCAAAGTGAATAAGAGTGACGACTGAAAAGAGTTTTTGGACCTTATGGCTTGTCGCAAGTCAGCGCTCGGACAGGCTTTCCTACAGTGATATGCGAAGGGGATGGAAATTGTAAACACGGGAAGGGAGACTGGAAGAAAGACAAGACAGGTATTGAGGCAGCATACAAATATATTTCCAAAACTCATCGACTTCTGGTCAATAGAGAGCTGCGAGTACTCATGTGTCGTGCCATCAGAGGAAGTTGCGAACAAAGGCTCAAGGGGCATTGAAGAATATCGGAGAATCAAAAAAACCCGCAATATCCTGCCCACGCAGAGGGATCAAGGACACTTCAACGTATATCGAGCTAAGCTGACACGCAGTTGACGCAAGGGATTTAAACGTATTGCGAGTGCACCTTCTGCGGTATTTATTTGCAGAGGAGTCTACAGCGAGGCGGTCGAGGGGAAGCCAGGAGGTTAAAAGAGGGATGTACTGGCACATGCCTGTGTCCCTACGGCCCGCACGAATAAAAAGACTCGTGGCGTCGACGCAAAGCACGAGTTGCATCATCGACTCGCAAGGGTCGAGACGGACAGCACGGCTTTTGTTGTTTCTCTCTCGAAAGAGCTTTCAACTCCATGCAGAAAGTAATACAGAGGGCCACAAGGGTCAGGAACAAGTATTCCCGGAAAACCAAAGATGAGACAGCACGAGACTCATTTCCAGGGCCGGTCACCAACGAGCTCATCTAGGAGCGACGAGATGTTGCTAATCTTTTTCTTCTTCGTTTTCGTTTTTTATTTTCTTAAACGCCCGGGTTTTCTACATCTGCCTGAACTACCTCCCTCCGTCTCCCTCTCCTCTCATCCCTCCTTCTCATTCAATCGTGCACCCGTTACGTTCTTCCCAGTCCGTAACTTGCATTGTTTGATATAAACCCCATCTAACTTTGTCTCGTGCAGTTGATTCCTGAAACCTCGAACTTACCCCCTCCCTTTCAAAACTCCTTCTTCAAATCAAACCACGTGAAAACTTTCCCTTCCTTCTTCGTCAGGGTCAGAATCACTTTCTCCCTTTTGATTCGGAACGAGGCGTTATCTATCTCGTCGTACAGGCGTTGGATTAGAAAGACTTGGGCCTATGGGAGCAGGACGGTCGTGAGGGAGGGAGGGAGGGAGGGAGGAAGGGAAGAAGGGAGGAAGGAGGAGGGAAGGAGGGAGATAAAAGAAGGGATAGGTCGTACGAGTAGCTCTGCGAAGAGTCGGTCCTCAG